TTTTTTGAGACGGAGTTTTGCTCTTGTTACCCAGGCTAGAGTGCAATGGCACGATCTTGGCTTACCGCAACCTCTGCCTCCTAGGTTCAAGCAATTCTCCTGCCTCAGCCTCCTGAGTAGCTGGAATTACAGGCGTGCACCACCACGCCCGGCTAATTTTGTATTTTTAGTAGAGACAGGATTTCTCCATGTTGAGGCTGATCTCGAACTCCTGACCTCAGGTGATCCACCTGCCTCGGCCTTCCAAAGTGCTGGGATTACAGGCGTGAGCTGCTGCGCCCGGCCAAACGTTTTTAATTTTTATGAAATCCAATTTATCTGTTTTTTTGTGTGTGTTGCTCATGCTTTTAATGTCATATTTAAAAAACCATTGCCTAATCCAGGGTCACCAAGGTTTATACTTATGTTTTCTTCTAAGAGTTTTATGGTGTTATATCTTACATTCTGGTCTTTGATCCATTTTGAGTTAATTTTTGCATATGGTATGAGGTAGGGGTCCATGTCCTTCCTTTTTGTTTTTAGCAAGTTGAGTTTGAGATACCTGCAGGACATTGAAGTAGGAGGATAATAAAATCTGTATAAATGAGAGTAAGATGGTGCTGGTAGGGGAAGTGTCTGGAAAGACCTTTTTTTTTTTTCCTTTTGAGGCGGAGTCTCGCTCTATCACCCAGGCTGGAGTGCAGTGGTGCAATCTTGGCTCACTGCAACCTCCGCCTCCCGGGTTCAAGGGATTCTCCTGCATCAGCCTCCCGAGCAGCTGGGACTACAGGCACATGCTACTGCACCCAGCTAATTTTTGTATTTTTAGTAGAGACAGGGTTTTTTTTGCCATGTTGGCCAGGCTGATCTTGAACTCCTGACCTCAGGTGATCCGCCCACCTCGGCCTCCCAAGGTGCTGGGATTACAGGCGTGAGCCACTGCACCTGGCTGGAAAGACCATTTTTAAGAAGGGTCGATGAGGGATTGGAAGGGAACCACCAACATCTCATTAGATGGGCACAAGTAAAGGAGCAACAGAACAAACTGAAAATAAAAACAAGTCAAAGATAGAAGCAAGAAAGAGCAATGTATAGTTGCCCTCTGGACATTTTTACCTAGAATGCATCTCTAAAAACCACTCAGACTGAATCCAATCCTGCATTTTTTTCTCCTGTATTGGTTAATAGTACCACAGTTCACAAGGTTGCCCAGTAATTTATGTGTTCCTAAGCTCTTTGCTCTCTGTAATCCTTTTACATTTAATTAATCATCAAATTTGATGGATTCCACCTTCTTAATGTTGCTTCAGACTTTCCCACTTACTCTGCTCTAGTTCAGGCCCTTCCTTGTTTTTCATCTGGACAATTGTAGTAGTCTCCTAACTGGTCTTTTTTCTGTATTATAACCTCCCAACAGAGGTTTTCTTTTTTTTTCTTTTTTTCTTTTTTTTAGACGGAGTCTTGCTCGATCGCCCAGGCTAGAGTGCAGTGGCACGATCTCGGCTCACTGCAAGCTCCGCCTCCTGGGCTCACGCCATTCTCCTGCCTCAGCCTCCCGAGTAGCTGGGACTACAGGCGCCCGCTACCACGCCCAGCTAAGTTTTTGTATTTTTAGTAGAGACAGGGTTTCACCGTGTTAGCCAGGATGGTCTCGATCTCCTGACCTTGTGATCCGCCCGTCTCGGCCTCCCAAAGTGCTGGGATTACAGGCATGAGCCACCGCGCCCGGCTAGTTTTTTGTATTTTTTAGTAGAGACAGGGTTTCACCGTGTTAGCCAGGATGGTCTCGATCTCCTGACCTTGTGATCCGCCCGTCTCGGCCTCCCAAAGTGCTGGGATTACAGGCGTGAGCCACCGCGCCCAGCAAGAGTTTTTTTTTTTTTTTTATCAAAACACACATCTTAAGTTACTTTCCTGCCGTAAAAATATATTTTGTTATTTACTATATATGTTCTTTATACTCGAATCTCTATATCTCTTCCTTTCCAGCCTCCTCTATTTATTTACTTATTTATTTATTTAGATAGCGTCTCGCTCTGTCGCCAAGGCTGGAGTGCCGTGGTGCAGTCTTGGCTCACTGCAGCCTTCGCCTCCCAGGCTCACAGTATCTTCCAGTCTTAGCCTGCAGAGTAGCTGGGACCACAGGCGTGTGCTGCCACACCCAGCTGATTTTTGTATTTTTTGCAGAGACAGGGTTTTGAACTCCTAGGCTCAGGCTATCTGCCCATCTTAGCCTCCTGAAATGCTGGGACTACAGATGTGAGCCACCATGCCCAGCCTTATGTTTTATTTTTATTTTTTAATAGAGACAGGGTCACACTTTGTTGACCAGGGTGGTTTCAAACAGCAGGCCTCAAAGAATCCCCCCATCTTGGCCTCCCCAAAGTGCTGGGATTACAGGTATGAGCCACTGCACCTGGCCTCCTCTCTTTCAAAAAAACATTTATTGAGCTATAATATACATATAGTAGCCAGGTGTGGTGGCTCACGCCTGTAATTCCAGCACTTTGGGAGGTCGAGGAGGGTAGATCACAAGGTCAGGAATTTGAGACCAGCTTGGCCAATATAGTGAAACCCTGTCTCTACTAAAAATACAAAAAAGCCGGGT